TGTTTTAAATTCTAGCATAAAAATTATAGCTAGGGAGGATTTTTGGGCTGTTTGCAATGCTCAAATTGCAGATGCTTATTTAAATCCCGAGCTGGTCTGTAACTGTAGCTGGAGGGTGGAAACCCTTCTATTTCCTTGCCTTTACTGGGTTTGAACCAAAAACTTAAAACATGTGGAAAAAATTTAAATAAGCAACCAGTGGCTCTTTGAAACATTATGCGGATGTTTAGTAAATACAGATGGAGATTATAGAGACAGCAATGATGAATATATATTTTGGCATGTACCTCTCCTTTAACTTGCTCATAGTGGTGGTGTGCTCTCAGTGTGCTGGGCTGCCTTTCATTTCATGGCCTTCAAGCTTGCTGTGAAGAGAAAGGGAAGAATGTTCTGCAGCCAGCCTTGGACTGCAGCTTAGAGCAGCTTCAACAACATCCTACTTCTCTCCCACCCTAAAACATAAAAGTGCAAAAGAAAGTTATCTCCTGACTTTTCATTTTGTGAACTGTTTATTACTTTATGAAGGGTAAATGTGAAAAGAGCATAAGAGCCATGAAATGGCACTGAGGTTTTCCATCAAAGGTGTCTTTACTTAGTAATTTTTATTAATTTATGGAGTGGGGCTCAAGCTTGTCAGCTAATGGAGGAATTTCTTTATGTGTATTAAAGGCAACAAATAAATGGAGGAAGAGGATAAACTTAAAAGCAGTTCTCATATCTTCTCCTTACCAAAAGACTTGAGTGATTGAAACAATGACTTGGGGATTGCTATTGCCTAAAACAAAGACTGCTACAACAGTATTCTGTGTAGTGTCATTGTTTCCATGCACTGCAAGTAGAAACTCCTGTGAAGCTCAGGAGATCGTTTGAAATGCATTTTAAGATGATGACTGTGTACATAATGGGATTTTAGTGGTGAGTTGCCCAGCTATAAGTGATGTAGGTAGTGTGGGATCAGGGATTTTTATGTTCTTTTGGTTTTTTTTCCCTTTGCAAAAGTCCTTGGCAGCAGGCTTTCCCATCTCTGGGCTTCATTGCTGCAGCAGTCTTAGAAAGAGAAAACCTAGAAAACCTGTTGCATAATATTCTGGGTAAATTGAATAGTTGATGAGACTACTGGGCTCAACTCGTTTCCATTCCAGGAGATGGGTGGAAAGAGCTTTGATTTTGCTGGTGATTAAGGGAGTGGTGTAACAGGAGAGCGTGTTCAAGTTACTATCTCCTTAGAAGAAATTGAACTGCTTCTAATTATTTCCTGCAGGCAGTGGCCAGCTGCAGGGGAGCCAGCTGAATGAGTCCTGGCTCTTTGAATTTGTCAGAGAAGCTAAATGGCTCCTAGAGGAGCAGATCTGACACTCTGGGCTGCATTGGGCCACCCTAGGGAGCTGTGCTGTGTGCTCTGTGCCAGCTCTCACCCCAGGCTCCTGCTGCACTTCTGGGACTGCTGTAGCCTGGCAGGGTGGCTGCTCTGAGGTGCTGGGGCTTGCACAGACAGCTTTCATAAAACAGACAGCACTAGGCAGGCCTGGGTATTCCACCACTCCAGCACAGGATGTGCTTGCTCCTCTCATTTATCTAGACTTGGCATCAGTTTGAAACCAGTAGGTTGTCAGTGGCTTGTGTCTGCTAGAATTGGGCTCCTGTTAGGCTTTTAAGCAATTCTGCCACAAACTCCTTGACCTCTACAAAGTTATTTATGCTGGTGTAGGGTCTTGTGCTTGCTGGGTGAGCAGGCATCTTGCCCAGACAGCATTCAGGAGCGAAGGGATGGCCTCATGGAATGCTTCAGCATATCTGCCATGCCTTAATTTTTAAACACTGCCTGAACAGCAGCAGGAAGGTCCATTTCTGCTCAAATTGATAAGTACTGTGTCTACTACATCTGTTTTTCGTAAATCAACCCTGACTGAATAAGGGCTGCAAGCTGTGGTTGTTGTGTGTCCTGCAGCACATAGTCCCAGTGCAATTTGGGAAGACTCCTTCAAAACCAGCGGCTGTTTCAGGCACGTAAGCCTTGCCCAGTGCCTGGAGGTAAACCACAGCACTGATTGCCTTGCAGACCTCTCCTGTAGTGGCTGTGACAGCAGGTTTGGCAGTGCAGCTCCATGGGAGGGAACAAAATACTTGTAAGAGCAATTGTTACATGGGGGATCTGTGGCATCTGCTCATTCTGAATTTGACATGTAGCTGATGCTGGATCAGGATGACTTAATCTTGTTTCCCTTTTTGAGGGAGGAACCACGTTCTATGTCCCTGTACCTAGTCTTGCACTTTTGCTTTGTGTATAGTTGGGTTTTTTAATTAAAAAAAAAAAACAACAAACTAAAAAGGGTGGAGGGAATCACAGAAATGCCCTGCAGATTACAGAACATGCTGTAGTTGTTGGCCCTTGGACAGATAATGAGGAAAATAAGAAGAATTCATCTGAGATCATTATGGTTTTCTTTTTCTGAACTCTCTTAGTGAAAAATTCTGCCCTTGCTGGATACAAACTTGCTGTTTTAGGTGTTCTACTAACACTGATTCATGAGAGCAAAATAAATTGATATCAAATTCTCCCTTTTATTTAAAAGCTGCTATCCTTTACCATTTTGTAGATGTAAAGGTTCAAACAGTAACTTTGAATTCTGCAGGATGGAGGAATAAAAGCTGAAGCTGGAGAGGGATAGGGAGTTATTTCAGAGTGCAGGCCCTATCTTCCATGGTTTAGTCATCTAATGCTTTTTTATAAATACCACTTTGTTTCCTTAATGAAACATAGGACTTAAATTCCCTTCCTTGTGATCATCCCTTTAAAGTCAGATTCTGTAAATTATTTTATTTATATATTTGTATGTTCACGTAAGTTTCTCATCCATCTTTCAAAGTTTGTTAAAGGCCACAGAAGAATTGAGACCTTATTTACAGTTCATGTAAATTCATTCCTCAAAGTCTCCTCTTGAGCTCCTGGATAGCACATGTTGAGTCATGGATACAGGCAAAAGAAAAGATTGAGAACAGTTTTGAAGGCTGAATTTTTTCTTCTTTAAATCTTAAAGGGAAGCAAGGTAAAGGTATGAGTTGTAGTTCAAAGAGCTTCTTGTTCTGAGGTGAGTGTCCTGCTGTCTATAGATGGGCACTTTGGCTGTGTGTAGCATTTAGGATCCCATGCTGTTGGTTTACTGGAGTTTTTTTAGTGGTAGAAGCTTTGTTGGGGTTTTTTTTTGTTGTTTTGATTGGTGTGGGTGAGATTGAAGCAGGGAGACTGTTTAACCTGGGTGCTGTCGATGCAGAGCAGCTGTGACTGCTGTGTAGGTGTATCCTGAGAGGACACTGATGTCTGCTTAAAATGCAAAGGAGCTGCTCAGGGTCTCTGCTCTGGGGGCAGCAGTTTTTCAGTGTGGTGCCAGATCTAAATGAGCAGATCTACAAACTCCTCCTGCAGCCAACTGCATGATGGCTGTGGTACATGAGCACAGGTCATCTATAGCACCCACAGCTGGTCGGCTGTGCCACAGCTGGTGATGTGCTTCTGGCAGGAAGGGAGCTGCAGCTCAGTCCCCGAGCTCTGCTGGGGAACCCCTGGCCATGCTGCTGAGCCAGGAGCCTGGCCTGGACAAAATCCAAGTGGTGGGGTCAGCTGGCTGCAGTCAGGACAGAGTCCTGCAGGCTGTCCTCATGAGCAGTTCCTAACCTGAGCTGCACAAGGGCAAATACAGCCACATAACTTATCTGCAAAGAACAGAGTTAGCTGTGTTCTGCACTGACAGTGGTGTGTCTGGAGAAGGTTAGTGGGCTAGTGCTGTGATTTCAGTTCTTTTTTTTTTCCTTTTTCTTTTGTTTTGTTATTCCAACTGTGATATCTGTTAACTTGATTTTAGTAAGTTTAGAGGAGCAGAGTGTTGTCTTGTTGGTATCTTTAAGTTTGTGTCATGGGAAAAGTGTTTCAGCAAAGCCCCCTTCTTTTTTTTTTTTCTTCCTAGGAGTCAATATGTAGTTTCAAAACATTCCTAATTCCTTACTGGTTTGCAGAACTGAATAATGTACACAGGTGGTAGACCTGCAGCTCTGCACAAATTTTGCACTGAGTGCCTGCTGGGAGCATAGACGGGAAGAAATTTGATCAGGGTTCAGATTTATTATGCCAATGTGATTTCTTCAGTTTTAGGTGAAGTTAGCTTTACTATGACTGCATGCAAGCTAAAACTTCATCCTTTGAATTCTAAACTTGTCTTCTGATGGTGTTGTTAACCTAGTATTCAGTCCCAGATCACCTAGACTCTAGAGAAATGTACCAGAATGTGCTCTGCTCCACAGTCTGGGTGATAAGCAATAGCCTGACAGTGTCTGCTGGAGCCTTGTGCTTAGGCTGTGGTGGGACAGGCATTTCATGGCTTATTTTGCTTTCAGGTGTTGTTTGCCTGGAGGGTGTGAGTGCTTAAAGTCATTAAAACCAGGAGAGAAGTCCTGGCAACGAGGGTGTTCCAACAAACTTCTTTCAGCTAACAAAACTGAGTGCTACTTGTGCTGTGTGGAGCTGTTGCTAGCAATTGTTCTAAAACTGCTAGGGAATTTTAGAAACAGCTGAGAAAGTCCTGGTACTTCCTAGGAAGTTACGGCTCTGGGATCAGAAGAGGAAGTCCTGTAGATTTGAGAATTTCAAATAACCTCTAAGCCCTACCAGACATTCACAAAATTAGAAGAGATCTCAGAAGTCTCTAGAAACTGAAATTTTCAAGGGATTTCTGAGAAATCCTAGGAATTGCCAGTAATGTCTAGAAAATGTTAGGCTGTGGGAATCCAGTTTACTCAGTGGCTCTGCTGGTAATCTCTACAATTTATGAGCATTTTCTAGGAATAGGAAAACCAATACTGGTTATCTTTGGATGAAATATCAAACAGTTGTATATGATAAACACACTCGCCATCCTTATGCTGTCAAGTGTCCAGTTTTAGCATCTCCCTCAGGGAGTGTCCTGTGTGTGCTTGTCTAAGACACAAACTTGTTTTCTTGTCTGCAGTCCTACTTTGTTACGGATTATGACCCAACCATTGAGGACTCCTACACCAAGCAATGTGTGATAGACGAGAGAGCCGCACGCTTGGACAGTAAGTAACCCACCCACAGTGCCCCCAGAACTGGGATTAGGAATTGGTGTTATTCCCAGGAGTTACCTGGGTGACATGGTGAGATGAAAAGCACACCTCTGTGCTGCCTCTCCCAAGTGCAATAGAAATGCTTTGCTTTAAAAAATTCGGTTCTTGCATGCTGGTGATTTCTTTAAGAATAAACCAAGAACCCTCATCTCCACGTATCTCTGAGCGTTTTCCATCTGTTTCAGATGGTCAGGAATTAGCAGAAGTCCTCAAGTGTTTTGTTGTTTAGTTTCTTTGGTAGATCTTGAATTGTTCAATCAGTGCAAGAACTTGTTGGGAATATTAGAATATCCAGTAGTATCTGCAAAATGTGGTTTCTGCTTGGCGAGGATACACAGGAGAGACTTTCACATTATCTTATCAGGAATAATTTTTTTTTCGGTCTATCAGAACAGGAAATGTAGTAATTAATATTTTTTTTTAATGTTCAGTTCTGGATACAGCAGGACAAGAAGAATTTGGAGCCATGCGTGAGCAGTACATGAGGACGGGGGAGGGCTTTCTGCTTGTTTTCTCAGTCACAGATAGAGGAAGGTAAGCCTGAGGTCAAGTTATTAAAACAAACAAGTTTTAATTATTCTAAAATTGCACACGATCCTTAACTGAAATAATCTCAAACAAAACATTTAAGTATGTGTTCACTCTTAGGTGCAAGGTGTGATGCTCTTTCAGCACTGAAGAAGACCAATTTTGAACCAGTCACTTTGTGAAAGTGTCTGTTTGTTCAATGGATGACTTGAAAGCATACACAAAAAAGACAGCTCTATTCAAGAACTTTGTTACAGTAGAGAACACCATTTTCCTGGGAATGTCTGGTATTCAGTCACTTAGGAATATCCCTTTGCCATGTGCAGCATCAAGTAGCTGGCTCTGGGTTTCTGAGTGGGTTTAGAGTATGTGCCTGCACTCTTGCAGGCAGAGGCCCCTCTGCTTACTCCTCTGCATTGACTGAATGGCTGCAGAATGCAGATGAAACATTAAGCACTATGCCTAATGACACACATCCCTTCTAGTCCACCTTTGCATGAGGTGTCTAGCCACCTAGTTCTTTTTTACTGGTAATGATCTTGCCTTTAAATTTTAGCTGGCAAATTAGGTGTAAATGCCTTCAGACTATATGTCTGGAAGGCTACAAAGAGTCTGCAAATGTCTGTGCTGAAGGTCCTTATGTAGTGATGTAGCTTTAACAATGTGGACTTGAAAGCAGTAATTTATTTATTCATTCTCCAAAAGGCCTTGCTTAGGCCAGAATTAGCTTGTTTAGCATACCATCTTGGAAGAAGTTTTCTGTTCTGCTCAGCTTTTCCTAAGCACTTTTGGAATATTCCTTATGCTTGGACAGCATCAGTACCTGGTATAACTTGGTTACTGCAAAGCTTTCTGATCATTTAGCCCTGCCATTTTTCTGTGCTTGACAAAACAAAACTTTCCAGCTTTGATAGCTTCCCCCAAAATTCTCAGAAGTACTTCTGGAGGTTGCCAGCTGAAATATTGATCACCAGGGTCTCTGTGCTGTTGTTTGAATGTGGATGGAGTAGAACTCCAGAGTCAGTATTTGTAGAATGGACTGTGGTTGCTTGATTCTCTGCAGCACACTGGCTGTGGGTCCCTATGGGTTGAGACACAGTCAGTGTTTTGCTCACCCTGCAGCCCCACCTCAGCCCAGTGCAGAGGACACTGCTCACTTGGGGATTTTTTTGGTTTGAGTGTTGAATGGTTCTCTGACTGGTCATGCTGTGACTTTGGAGTGCCTGCAGCTGTCTGTGCTTGTGTGTCATGGCAGGGCAAGTCCCAATAGGTGACTCATAATTTCTGAACTTTTTCAGAACCTGAGAATCTGTGAATTAGTGCATTGATGCTCTACTTGTGTTCTTTCACAGCTTTGAAGAAATCTATAAGTTTCAGCGACAGATTCTTAGAGTGAAAGATCGCGATGAGTTTCCAATGATACTTGTTGGTAATAAAGCAGATTTGGACCACCAAAGACAGGTAATTCATTTGCTGTTAGTTACTGGTCGCTTTCTTCCACAAAATTCAGGTTTTCCCCCAAAACTAAACTTCCTTCCAGAATGGGAACAAACAAATGAAAAAAAAGGCATATCATACAAACTAATCCCAATGCAAGAAACTCCACTCAGTTTCTGTACTTGAAGAACCTTAGTAGTGTGATGGCATTCCACACACAGCACATCTTCTGTCTGACTCAGTGGGGTTATGTTGAGACCAAGTCTGTTCACAGAGCTGAGAGCTTTCTGTCATGACTTGATAACTCAGGCATGAACGTGTCTAATTCCTCAGTTCTGTTACTCACCACTGCACTGTGCCAGCAGAGTGCATTCCAACACTAACTCCAACCATCCTTAGTCTTCAGTGCTCTTCCTTTTACCTTTCACTGCTGTTATGGATAAATTAGCAGTTACTCACTGCTTTCTCTTTGGCCACTCATCTTCTGCAAAACTGACTTAAAGCTTTAAAGGTTGGAAGTACAGCAGCACAGTTTCTGTTATATTTATGTACCTTAAAGTTTTGAAACCAATAGTTTTCAACCTCACCTCTAGTCACAAAACTACTTAAAGTGTTTAGTTTAGAATGATTTAAAGGACTTTCAAATATGTTTTTCTTAGTTGCTGTTGATTTTTAATGAATCAAACTAATTTGAGCTGAAATGAAAATAACCTTACTATAGCAGCAGGAAAGGAACAGATGTCAAACTTGTATTTTCTTCAGCAATTAATATGAGAAGCTTAATATTTTCTCTTGAGGCAGTAAGATGACACCAAAAGCTTGGTGGCAACCCGTGATTTTCTGGGAATAAAGAAAATTGCTAAAATTGCCGGAATTGTTCTAAGAGTTTCACAAGGAAAAAAAGCCATGGCTTAAAGAGCTCAGTGAGTTAGTTTATGCAACACTGAATTACAATTACAGTACAAAAAAAGTTCCTATTTAATATGGTCCTTTGACTGTCACAGCCTCTTCATCCCAGAAGCTGTGTAGAAAAATCATGACTAAATTAAAAGCTATGTTGAAAGATGCTGCATTGAAAGAAGTTTTCACAGAAGTAGCTCACGAATTCCTCTGAAGTAACTTTGAGTACTCACACATTCACAGAACAGCCTGTCCTGTGACAGGGGACGTTTCATTTAATTCCCTTTCATTTTTCAGTTACCATCATGCCCCCATCAAAATTCCTAGATTTAACCTTGCAGGTCCTGGAACATGTGTACTTCATTTCCTGCACAAATGTTGGCATTGAAATTACGGAGATGAAACTGAACTATTCTGCTAATTGTAACTGCTGAAAGACAAACCCCCAGATGCTTTGGGAGGGAAATAACATCATGGCTGTCAGGCCCAGCTCTCAGGATACCTGCAATTGTAGTTGGTAATCCTGGACATCCATTTCTAGAAACAGCTGTGAACTTTGCTCTCCCTCTTCCACTCTCCTCTTGTTATTACACTGCCTCTGTTTCTCTCTTGAAGGCAGAGAGGTGCCTGTCACCTGTTCTGCTGGTCTCTCTGCCCTCTTCCAAGCTGCTTTTTCAGATGGAGATGGGCTGGAACACATTCAAGCTCAAAGCAGCTTTTTCTAAATTGCCTAACTTTGCAGTTTTGCTGCTTGTATCAATATATGTCTCCAAAATTTCCTTTTGCTTTTTATGGCTATATTAATTGCCTTAATTGATTAGATGCTGGTGGGCAGAGCTTTTTTGGTGCTCTCACTCACCATTTATATACCAATTGGTGGACTTCATAAGCTGGGGCTTAGGCAGATGCAGCTTAGAGAACTTTTGTGGGTTTGCTTAAACAGCTACTGCATGTTCTTAACTCTTCCCTGCCTCATCACATGTGCATTTCACTTAGTCTTCAGTCAGTGTGAAGGAATGATTATGGGATGCTGAGCTGACATAATTGGATCCCACAAGGGAGAGGCTCCCCTCCCACTTGACTTCACATTCCCATTCTTTCCCAGATCTCACTTGAAGCACTTTTGGAGTTGAATCATCTCTCTGGATGGGGAGGAGCAGGAATGGCTTCCTGGGACCTGCGTGAGCTAAATCAGCTTGCAGAAAGATTTGAGTGCCAGTGCTGGAAGCATGGGAAGGGGTGGGACTGTGGCTTGGAGCAGAGCAGGGAGGAGTTGGGCTGGGGGGAGCAAGTGAGACCTCGCCCTTTGGCAGCAGCAAGCAGTGAGATGTTATCAGCTGGGTGTTACACAGGGGTTGTTTCTGCTCCACCGTGTGAGCTCTCAGTACAGCCATCCACTCACTGAGAGGGACCAGCTTGTTCATCTGGCTGAAAACTTATCAACTAGTTCTGCCACCAGCTAAACCAACTAGTCCAAAAGTGAAGAAGAACTTCAGCCTGACAAGCAAGGTCATCCTGCTCTGGCTGCAGGTTTCTTGGCAGGCAGCTGCCATGGGAGCAGTGGGGTCAAAGGGGAGTGTGCTCCCTCAGCTTGGCTGGGAGTGCTGGGTGAGTGGGAAGTGTGGGGCATCCCCAGGCTGTACCTTGTGGCCAGAAGCATGATAAGGGCAAGTCCTCTGCATTTTTACCCTTTGCCTGCTGTTGTGTCAGGCCTCATTGAGCACCACCAAAAACTTGCTAGGCTACGCTTACATTTTATTTGTCTGGTTCTTTCTCTCTTAACTTGTTTAATCCTAACTGTACATTTTTCAGCTTCAGAATTAATGTAACATTTTTAGAAAGTCAGGAAGCTGGCTATCAGTTTTTAGACTGCTTGTACTGGGCACCTACCTGCTTTTTCCAAAAGGCAGGAGGCAGACCAATGAAACACATGCAATCTCTGAAAGACTTTAAGCTAAAGAAAGTAATTTAGTGTGTGTTTGGATCAGCAAATGACACTCAACAAATCTTCACAGAACCCAGAAGAGTTAAATATGTGGAAGAGTTCTGGTTGTCTCAAGGGTCTGGCCACACCTTTATCCAAGTAAATATGTGTTGAGGTTGAACAGAGTACAGAGTACTATCTTTGTGACACCATAAATCTGGAGGCTAATGATGCATAACTAATCATCCTCCTGTGGTGGCAACTGTTTCTCAGGAAATACATGAACTGGGTTGTACAGCAGAAGTGCACAAACAATGGTATCATCTTGATGAATTGTTGGGGCTCACCAAAGGTGTGGTGTAAATTAGTGGGGCTTTATATACCAGAGACCAACTCACAAGTGGTTTTGGGAGGGACGTGAAGGAGTAAGTTTGAAATAGCAATTTGTCATGGTAATAATGGTATAGCTAAATAGACTTCAGCAGCTTTCTTGTGACTTTTGTCTCTCAATCTCCATAGGTTACACTGACAAAGAAAAGTGAGTCTTTAAAGGATAAGCAAGCATTAATCTTTAGAATGTGTGATAAGAAATGAAGCTGCCAGTGTTTCCAAATTCCCCAGTCACAAATTGCTGACTCTGAAACCAGAATTGAAGCACCATCTCTCACTGCTCTTTCCTAAAGTAAATGCTGTGTAGCAGTCTTTCTGTTAAATGGGTTAATTCCTTAGAACTTAACACTGGATATTTCTACTGTAAGATAATTCAGTAGAGCACCAGATGTTTTAATAATAACCACTAGTGATGGAGGAGTGGACTTGTCAGTGCAGGATATGTATGACTTTCTGTAGATAACTGCTAGCTTAAACTGGGTCAAGTCTGATCATTCCCCAGATGGCAGGGTTTCAAGGAAAATCCATGTTGCAACAGGAAAGTGCTTGGGTTTCATTAAATGCTATTTCTTGCTTTTGCGTTACGATTGAACTAACACAATGACCTAGTGCTGAGATCACCTCTGTTACCTTAAAAGCAAGGTAATCTTTAAAGCAAGAAGAGAAAGAGAAATCCACGTGACTTAACTCTTAACTATCTGTTTCTTGTATGAAAGTGTGACAAGAACTTCTTGCAGTGGTGGATGTTGGGACTGTGTCCAGGGACACCTCTGTGCCCACAGACAGATTTTACCTTTGAGAGGAGAGTGTGGACAAACTGGAATTAGGGGACAGTGAATTGCACCTGTAGAAAAATTGGGAAGAGTGCCAAGTGATGGAACTCTTGGCAGAAGTGGGCATTGTTTTTGTGCTGGGAGCACTGTAGGGTGACCACAGAGTGGTAGAAATTGATTCCTCTCAAACTTGAGGCAACATTTAGTTGTTACCTGTGTGATGTGTCCCTTAGTCTTGTTTAAGTGTCCTGGCAAAATACAGGTGCATTCTAGGTTAGGCAGCCTTGTAGAGTTGCTTTAGGTGGAGGAAAGCAAGGAAACTTCAGAAATTAATGTATTTCTCACAGATACCAGACAGAATAGTGAAGAGAGAAGGACCTATGTTCACAGGATTATTGTGCAGATACTCAAATGGAAACTGTTTCAGAAGAAGAATGTTAACTTAGAGAGGTGGGGAATAAGCTTTTCAATGTTTGACTGGCTCACATCTTCTGTAATGAGTTTTCATTTGAGAAACTTTTACTAACTGTCAGAACAGGGTGAATGAGTGATATCCAGAAAGAAACAGTAAAATATCCTATAACAAAAAAGGGTGAGTATCATGTATTCAGGCTTAAGTTCACTAAAACTGCAGTACCAACACACACAGATGTACACACAATCACTATCATCAAATCTGTGGTTCTCTTTAGTTCTGTCAAAATAAAATCCAGTCTTCTTTGAAGAAAAAGGATTTCGTTTTTATTTTGGTGGTGATGTTAAATAAGCTGTCCCATCACACTTCCTGGAAAACCCATCATGTTACAGGGTTGTCGTACTCGAGAAGGGACAACAAAAAGATAAAATTTCATGGTTTTATTTACAAGTATTTCTATGTTTGTACTTACATTTCCCTCAGCTTTGAAGATCGTAGTGATATGTTCTGGCCTCTAATTTAAATCTTGGGCACTGCACATGTTTCCATGGTGTTTGCAAACCAAATATTTTTTTAAACTGACTTTTGAGGTCATCGAAATTGACCACAAGTAACTTGACAATATACTCGGGAGACTGGCAAAAATTACTTTGGAATTTAACAGTTACAGATATTATTGTAAATACAAAAAGAACTTCAGTGTATATGTAATGTTTTAGGTGCAGGATATTGTGGAAGTGGAGCTTAACTTCATATACAGTGTTAGTTTGACTTGTACCTGTAATGTGCTTTAGGTACAATAGCGAAGAAATTCTTTAAACATGTGTTTAAAGATGGAGTTCAGCTTCTCAGAATTATACATTCTTTATTATTCATTAATAATAAAGAATATAAAAATATAAAAATCATCAATTATACATTACAATTCTTAGAATTATACATTCCCTGCAAATTATTTATTTTTGTTGAACTTCAGCCTCTCACTTTCTGGGGTTGCAGTAAACTGTGTGGGGATGAAGAAAAGTAACAAGAGTTAGTTTTGCTAGAGCTGTTATATCTATATCTTACTAGTCTGAGGTAGAGATCTACAGAAGGTTCTGGAAGCACTGGTGCAAACTTTAGGAGATTCTACAGTGCCAAAAAAGAGCTACAAATATTTGTCCACATGCAGCCTTCATAAGCTTTGCAATTGGAATATTTCAACATCTGAGGTCAGAGTGGGGGGTTGAAGTGGAATTGTTCTAGCTGGGAGAGCAGGAGTCTTCATTATTTTTCAGTTTTCAAATAGCAGTAGAGTTCCAGTTCTTCCAGTTCTCCTTATGTGCCCTGCAGTTAAAAAGGCAGCTCCAGTAGCTGATCTTGGGGTTGAGTTGTTTCTGGAGGTTTCTTTTTTGGCTTCAGCTGGTGATGATAACACTGAAATGAATGCAGAGTTGCTGTGAGTGTTTGAGATCAGCATGTGCATCCTGAATTACTCCAGTTAATGGCACAGGGTGCTGGGAGCATTTTGTAGAGCTTCACAAGGGTTTAGTGGGAGCAGCCCTGATTTCAGCAGGAGGTGTATTGCTATTGTACTAGTGGGATGCTAAGGGCAGAGGAATCAAACATGTGGAGATGCTATGCATGAAGGCTCTTAAACCACTGTGTAGCTGTTAAGAAACTATTTTGCAAGCTGAAAAGTACTTCTAGACCATGCACTGTGGTGAATGCTGCCTCTACTTTTCTATTTCCATTTCTGTGTAGCTGTTTAATCTAGTGAATATTCTGAGTTCCTTTTCAGAACTAATTTAAAAATAAACCCTCCTTATTTTTGTTCTTATATCAGTCTTCTACGTGCTGGTTTAATGTTTTTCTGTGAATGCAGCATAATCTTTGACATTTCTTCCATCAGGCATTGTCTTGGCAAGATCTGTTGTATTTCCTTTTGTCCCTGAAAGCTGCCCTTTCCTCCCTGGCCCTGGGGGTTGCCTTCCCGTTGGAGCCTTGCACCACTCAGGGTGGCCTCTGTTCTCTGACCTCACTGCTTTCCACCTCATCCAAAAATACACAGTGGTCTCCTTTGGTTTTGTCTTGTGCCTGATGTACTCCTCCTTCCTAGAATGTTCTACTGGCTTCCAGTGTTCCTAATCCTTGTGTTTTCTTCTGCCTCATCACTTTAAATTTTGTACCAACTTTTCGTGATGCTCTGTGTCCTGTTCATCTCCTTTTCCGCTGTTGTCTCAAGGAGTCATTTTGTGGCCAGGGTTTCTTTAATATTTCTGGATTGCCTGAAGACCTCAGGCAATTTTTAGAACTCTGGTATGTTTAAAACTGGCTATGTTTTGCTATGTCATTAATAGATTTTTTTTTTTTAATGCCTTTTCAAAATATTTAGAAGCTAAACAGCAGTTGTTGTTTTAATAGTAGTCTGATTTTTTTTTTGTTTCTCTAGATTTAGCTGGGACAATGCAAAGGTGAATTTAGTAATAATATTTAGAATCCTGTTAGTAATCCAGCAGATGCTGACTGAAGCACTTCCTTTGAGGAGGAGCAAGGGACTAATGTCTGCCTGTGAAGGAAAACTTGGTCTTATGCTGAACTGAAGGCACCTGGAGGGAGGGGAATTTCTTGCAAAGTCAGTCTTTGTCTATTGCAGAAACTTTCTTTTAAAAAAGTCTTTTTCCCAGTAGTGAAAACTGTGCTTTGCCCAGATAACCATTATGTCTTGAGGGAGCTGGATCCTTAACATGCACATGCAGAGTGTACTGGCAGAAAGCTGCTGGCAGAACCCTTGAGCTTAATGGCTGATGTCTGTTACAGGTGACACAAGACGAAGGCCAGCAGCTGGCACGGCAACTTAAAGTAACCTACATGGAAGCCTCAGCAAAAATCAGATTGAATGTAGACCAAGCTTTTCATGAACTTGTCAGAGTTATAAGGTATGGTAATTGAGACCACATAATTCATGTCCCTGTATTAATGGATAGCTGCAGCAAAGGTGTTGAAATGCAGTGGGAAATTGCTGGGAGGATTCTGCCTGCTGTTTCCTCTAAACTTTAGCCAATGATCTCCATTATAAAACACTCAGGTGCATTAGGAAAAATGCTTACATGAATTTAATATATATTTGAAAGAGAATGTTGTTGTCTTAATCTTTCAGATTTTATTGATCACCCAGTCAGTAAACGTGATAAATTGCATCTGAGACTGGCCTTCTGTAAAAAATTTGGTTTCCGACAAAAAAAAAACAAACCCAAAAGGGGAACTCAAAAACTCACTCACTTTATCAGTAATTTTGTGTAAGAAGGAAGTGCATGCCCTATGAAAGTACAAAAAGAAAGCGTGGAATATAGTAGTTGTGCTTATTTACCTGAAATATATTCTATGAATTTAATTTGAAATACTTGTTTACAGGAAATTTCAAGAACAAGAGTGCCCTCCTTCACCAGAGCCAACGCGGAAAGAAAAAGACAAGAAAGGCTGCCATTGTGTTATTTTCTGAGAGTCCCAAGAACCAAGCTATCAACTGCCAGATCATTTTTTTTTTTTTCTTTCCATCATTTTACATCACTTCTGGTATTGGTCTAGCCTTACATGTGCATGTCCTAAAAGTGGTCACCAGAATAGCCTTAGTCCAAGAAGCTGGCAGAATAGTTCCTGAAGAAGACTCTGTCATCCTGGGGCAGACTTCAAACCAAAACACTAAGGCTGCTTCTCTAATACCACAGTTCCTTCTCTCCCTTCAGAGCTTGCACCTTGTGGAGTTTTATTCGCAAAGGAGATGAAACAAAACCGTGTAGGACGAGGTGTTGAAGTCATGCATAAGTTGTCTCTTGTGAATTAATTTATTTTTACTTCTGACATTTCATTAGCTATTGCAGAGACCTATATTGGAGTATAGAGAATACTTTTTAAAAAAGGGGTGGATTGGCTTTTTTTTTGTTTGTTTCTGCCCTCAGTTAAATTAGACTTGAGTATTCAGCTAGCCTTAAGAAACCTACACTGAATTTCATTGTCAGCAAAAATTTTCATCTCTCATTTATGCTGCAGTTTTATTTCGGTGGCCAAAACATTCTACTGTATTTATTTTTTGAATCCAGAACAGCTACAGGATGATTACTACTACTATTAGGATATGGCCAAATACCTGAGCTCATTCTGGATTGAGGCATTTCAGCTTATTAAGAAATTTCACATTATGTTTGAAAACAAATTGTGTCTTCCTTTGTATTTCTGGGTAAGGGATTAAGGAAAACTAAAATTGTAGCTGTTTTTGTTTCATGTGATATAAAAATGAATTTGATCTTTCCATTGTCAGAGATGATTAAATGTTTTTGCTATATACTTTTATACATTATTTTCTTATCAAACTAGTTAACAAGTATTTTTATATGTTTGTAAGCAAATATGCTTTCACAGCATAACTTGTGTATATGTAAAGATGAGTATTTAATTCTCACAGTTCACTTTTAACTGACAAAATGTGGGATTTGCCAAACTGTGGTAAAATTCTCCTTACTCTCCCGATTATACCCAAGAATGGCCAATTATGTGCCTGCCCAGCACACCTATAGAATAAAATCTAGTGTTGTGTTTTAATGAATTTCAGTATCCCTCGCTGAAGACTGACCATTATGTGAATTATTAAACTGTAAGAACTTTTAAACTGATTGTTTAGTTAAACTGTGGATGGTTGTTTAATTTTGAGTTCTGTGGATTGTGTTTAAACAATTCAAGAGTATGGTCCCTGATATTGAAATACTGAGTGGTATTGCACAGTTGTCACCTTAACTGAATGTGTCCAACAGTTCTTTGAAACTTGATTATTAAGCAAACCCTTGTATAACTTCAGGTGCTAGAATTAAAGATGATCTAACCATTTTCGGGGGGTAAACACACTGCCTCTTTCTGAATCTCTTCCAAAACCTGCATTTTTTGGGGGGAGGTCGGGGGGAGAAGGGAGCGATGGAACCTGTCTGGGGAATAGCAACACATATCTGCAAGAGCATTTTCCTCAAGCTTGGAAGTAAAGAAACTTTACTTTCAAGAAACTTTCAGCATAAGTCATGACAGATGACAAAAGCTGATGTTTGCTTTGGCTTGAAGTGTGTAGTCAGTGGTCCCATCAACAACCCTTGTGTTTTCAGGCTGTGCTCACTGTCAGGTGCTCTGCCATAAATCTGGAAGTGTCTCCTGAGGAAACAGGGCTGAAACAGGTTCCAGGTACCTTTACAGCAGGAAGGCATTATACCTTGGATTCAGGCTACTGCCAGGCATTGCAGAAGAATTTAAGTTTTTTTAATGTAATTTAGGATAGCATGTGTAATGCAGTTTTGAGAGAGTGGGCAGCTTCCCCTCCCTGGTGGATTTATTGGTTGATGAAAGGCTACTTAGGAGGAGTGTGTGGAAGATTCAAACAAGGAGTTACAGTGGAAACACATTTGGGAGATGCATTGCATTTTTCAAGTCAAATGTAAGAAATTACAGCCTGTAGCAAACACCACGTGTTTTCTTAACTATGTAAAGCTCTCTGGAGGTAAATCACTGAATATGTGGCTTTAGAATGAGTTAAGACAACAGATTACAGCATGTGTGCTGAGACTGAACTTGTTCAGTGAACATATCTTTAGATTTTATAACTTTTTCCTTTATTTTTTAACCTTTCTGTCATGGTAAAAAGGCTTTAAATAGTAGAGTGTTACAAAAATAAGTTTTTTTTAATATGCAGTTTCTCAGAGCTGATAGAGAAGGTGGTAGAGCTCCACGTGGAGAGATGGATAAATTTGAGGATGTTGATGCTAAAGAACCTACACCTGCTAAGCCACGTTGTAACCACAGTGAACCTTACAAACAAAATAAACAACCCTGGTACCACCAGCAGCTGCTGTGCAAAGTTTATTAACTAAGACATGTGCATGTGCTTTTTAAGGCTTCTCTTGGAGAGAATGTGCAGAGAAATCTGTGTGGTGTTATCATCTCTCTTCTGGACTCTGTGGCACTTCAAGGAGGTGTTAAATGTAGGCATTTGGATCCTACTCTTCAGGCATGAAGTAAATATTTAGAAAAGCAATAGGGATTTTTGGTGTGTAATGATGATCTTGGTGATTGTGAGTTCAAAACAACTGAAGGTGTTTCAATTATTTGCTTTTCTAATTGTTGTAGCTGAAAGTAATGGTGAAAAATGATGCTTCTGGCCCTGGTGTGATGCTTGAAACAATATAATAGGGAGCTTGTCAGTCTTTTAAAATAGTAGCCCTGATCCATAGGCCATGGATTAGTTGTGAATTTACAGCATTGCCACCTTGCTGTAGAATAAAGTTTAGCTGACAGGCCAAGAGAGATTCTTAAAAATTTCCTGGCAGAAGAAATGCTTTTAAGATTTGTTACTTATGTTTGTAGTTACTTCAGTTCAAGGCCACATCCATAAATCTGTTAAACTTGCAGTTCACCAATCTAGGGAGCTTAAAATGTACCCAGAAATTATCTCCTGTTCTTCCTAGATCACAGGGTAGGGTCTGGATCTGTGTTTCAAAGCACAAAACACCTCTTTTGGCCTCTCACACTGCTGAACCTGCCACTCCCCTGGATGAGGAGTGGGGTTGATGTGCTCATAAGCAAAAGTCTTTTTATGCATGGAAGCATGAGATGAGCTATTGTGAAAGGGTTAATAAAGCAAAATATATTTGAAAAGTGTTAACTCCCACTACTGCCAAGGAAAACTCTGACTTTAATGCATGGCCTTGTGGTTAGTCATCATTGATAAAGTTCAAGTCTGGATTATAACAAAAATTTTGGCTTAGGTTCTTCTGACATCATTTATGTGACACGATTTCACCCGTGGTGTTGTGTAGTCGCTGACTGGCCTTGCCACATCTTGTTACAAGGCTGATGGGCCTACTCCAAACAGGAGACTTATGAAGTCAGTCACCACAAGCCCAATACTGCCAAAAATTATCTGCACTTATTCTTTAGAAGCTCATTGCTGAGAAAAGGTCAGGCTGAACAGAATGCATTTGCACTTGATTTAGGTATAGATTTTGAAGTTGGTTACCCTCATGTACCAAAACCACGGTGATGAAAACACTCAAACAGAATTTAGGAAAACAACCAAGCTGGAAATAGAGGGGAATGGGATTGTTTCCTTCATTACTGCACTGACCACAGCAGGGCAGCAGCCTGTCAAAACATGAAAGCTTAAACTTGTCAAGAGGGGCTCTTGCTCAGGGCATCCTGGATGGTAAATGTGCTGTTCATCAATTTGTAAGTGTGGCTTTTCCTGCCTTCTTACCTGGGTCTGTTGTAATGTCAAGTTAAAATTGCAGGCTTGAAGTGAATTCTGGGTTTTGCATGGTGGTCAGTAGAGATCCTAATCCCAGTGTTATGCACACGTGTTGGAAGGCCAGAAAACTTGGGAAAATTCTTGATACTTAAATATCCTTGTAGAGCTCTGACCATGGGAACACTTGCATGCAAGAGGTCCAGTGTAGAAATGAGAATGGGGGATAGTTAGAGTAGCCTTTAGCTGGGAAGATAAAAAACTTTAAATGAGAAACCATAGATGTGGAAAAGGCAAGGGATTCAACTACAAGGAAAACTTAATAACAACATTGTGAATATGTGCTGGGCTTGCTTTCGGTTCTAGACTTTTCTGTTTCTTGCTTGCTATTCTAGACTTTTAATACTTCAGTTATAAAGGGTTTGAGAGACTTTTACTTATTTATAGTGACCTTAGCATTTCTTAAATTACTACATTTTAAAAAATGCTTCTGACATTGTAGAGTGAGAAATTAGCAAGCAACGTGCAAACACCAAAAATTGCAAGTAGAGACAGTGATTAACCTCCTAATTCCCCATCTCTTAGTCCAAGGTGTGGATTAGGGTGTGCTAAACCCATTTCTCACATCAGTTAAACTGAACTGAAGAACAGTAGAGCACAATTACTTCTCTGAATGCCCCGGGATCTCCTACAGACCACCACGAGATGGCACCAGGGGCAGCCCTACGTGCCGCTGGGAAATGCTGCTTTCCCCGGGATCCCCTACAGAGCTCAAGTGCCTGCTCTTAACAGGCAGGGTAGGAATGCAAAGCTGTTGATCTGTAATAAAACAGGGCCACCGTGTGTCACAGCTATTTCAGAGTAATCCTTTTCCATGGATTCTGTAAAATCCGGATGGTCAATAGCTGGGGAAAACCAGTGGTTTATAAATAGTATTTCTGAAGAATTTGATATGAAAAGCAGGAAGGATGCTTGCAAGTCTAAAACATTAGATTTATGTTAATTAAAACATTGTACAAATTCTTAATTTCTTCAGGGTTTGCCAACTTTTGTAGTTGCCAGCTGTGTTGGGAATATCAGAGACAAAGCAAAAATGAGTGATTTGTGTATCGTTAGTAACAATAATAACAATAAAGAACATACAATTTGCAATCAGAAAGTTATGTATAAACACTTCATATTCAGCTAAATAACACATCCGTAATGACTTCTGAAACCAAATTTTGTTGTGTTTGTAGTGTATCTGGGAAGGCATCTGTTACTGCCAGGTTCCAAGGTTTGGGCTCTTCCATTGCTGCTTTGTGATGACTTCTTTCCAGCAGTATTACTTGGAACAAATGTCCTTGAAGGGAAATAGAAAAGACACACCTGTTTTTCACTTGTAGCACCAGAGCAATCCCTTAGAACTCCTATTTGACATCTTCACATTGCTAAGACTGAATGTGACATATTCCTGACCATTCCCCTCTGTCTTTTCAGGAGTTAGGTGCAGGACAAGGAAAATGGGGAGTTGTTGCTGGGTGATTTAGTGACAGTAGATACAGCACCCAGAGCCTCCACTGCCTCTTGACCAACCTGATTTCCAAGGTCCGTGTGAGGAGGTGAAATGAGGAGAAGAGGCAGGAGCAGTGGGTAAGGATCAAGGCAGGGGTTATTTCGGGGGGCTCAACCTATACAAATTTATAGGGACTTAATGGAGCCCATCCGAGGTGGAGAGAGAACCTGCTGATGCCCTCACAAGGCTGTTGAGACTTCTTTCATGACCGTCTTTAATGGCGAGCAGGGAAATTCCTGGTGGCTGGAGGAAAGCAAGTGTTGCCCCCCCTCTTCAAGCAAGGCCTGGGAAACAATGTAGGGAATTGCAAGGAGTCATCCTTGCTTCTATGCGTGGAAAGTCATGCAATGAGTCTTCCAGGAACATATTTCTGGGCACATAAAAGATAAGTGGTTGGGAATGATCTGTGGAAATGTATGAATTGACTGGAGTCAGTCACACCTGACCACCAGGATTGCCTCTGTGATGAAGTGACTGAATTTGTGGATGAGGAGAGAGCAGTGTATGCTTTTACCTCAACTCAGCAAGCCTTTCAACGCTGCTTCCCACCCTATTTTGATACAAAGGTGTTCAGGGTGTTGTGGGCTGGTAAAGCACTGACTGATGGATTGTGCTCAGAGGGAGTGGTGGTCCTCAGAGTGTGTAACAGGCTCACCTCCAGGTAGAGTCTGGTGACAAGGGAAAGGCTGCAGGCATCTCACCTGGCATCTTGAACATCTTGCCAGTGAGCTGAAGGAGACAACTCAGTGCACTCTTAACATGTTTGCAAGTGACACTATGTTGGGGAGAACCAGCTGGTGAACTTGGGCATGGGGCTGCTGGAGGAACAGTTCAAGGGGAGCCTATGGAATTTTACAAGGGCAATTTTAAACTCAGAAGTTTTATTTAAATCATCTTAGAACTCCAGCAGAGTTCTGTGACTTACCTGGGGGTCAGGTTTGCACTCATGCATGCCAGAAGGCTGCACTGGACCGTGGTGGCTACCCAAAGCATGCCAGGCTTGCATTTGCTGGCTCCAGCTCATCAGAGATCCAGAAAGAAGAAACAGGA